ATAAACTCAGTCTTCCTGCCCCGTGCAATTTCCTTATTCACATTTCTCATTTGCAATCTCTTTTTCTTTATTGACAAAGTTGTCTCCTGGTATGGTTAAAATATGTTACTCTATGTTTTTCTTGTAATAAAAGTAAAATGCAGGACAAATCAGCTATCATCCTGGGATGTGTAGGAAATGCTGGCGTTAGACCATCCTACAAATCCCTGGGGCACAGAGTTTTCCCAAATCTCAGTTTCCCATAGGAAAATGTTGACAGCAACCTATCACAGAAGCTTTAAGGAGCTGACAATTTCAAACAAATTTGGTTTCCACTATTCTAAGCTCTGAACTCCTTGTTTGTTGAGAGAGATGGAAAGTGGACACTGGGCATGGTACCTGGGATTCTGCTTTGGGATAAAATACCCCCAATCCCTTCCAGATTTAAGAGGCAGGAAGCTTCCAATCTAAAGAAAGTTCACTGGGCTGCACTTGTGCTTGGGAGTTTGGGTGGGGGGCTGCTTGGGCTGAGGCAGCATCATGGTTCTCTGGCTGGGTCTTCCCAGATGCCCGACAAGGAACACAGTGACAATCTCCACTCCTGCTACCACCAAAGATTCTCATCTAACTACATGCAGGATTTACATATGGTTTGTGTTTACCTGTGCATGGGACAGACCCCTCAGGGCTATCGGTGGATGTCAACGAATAAAAGATTTTAAAAACTCATAAAAACTGAAATGGAGCCTCTCAGGATGAGGAAGGTAGCAGGAAAATGAGGCCCGATGGAGAAAAGAATCATTGAGCACATGTGTTTGAAAGAGGAACAGCTTTATTTCAGCCAACAGTTGTGGCAGACTGGAGTCCAAAATGACAGAGCTCCCTGCCTGCTTCCACCCCATCCCTTTATAGGGTTCATAGAAAAGCAAAGAAATCATTATTATATTGTCTCTCATTGGAGGTTTCAAAGCATGTACAGGGTTTACAGAAGTGGAAGCAAGTAGTATTTTCAAGGTTCCAAGAAGCTAAGTTTTTACAAATTCTTAAGAGCTGAGTTACCATGGAGAGAACTTTGCAGGAGTGTCCTTGAGTTTCTGCAAGATGCCTTTTGTCCTTACAGATTAGAACATACTTCTCAGAAGGAAATATCTATCTCAGAAGGAAATAGCCATTTTCAGGCTTACTTCTTCCTGTGTCACCAATAATATTGTCCCCCATCTTCCAACCCTCTATAGAAGAGCACCAGAGCACACAGGGGGCTGTGATGCTGGGCTGCTGATGAGCAATGCTAAGAAGCAAATGGTGTTTTCCTGGGGCAAAAATTTATTGGTGTTAAGTCACAGTGAGACCTACACAGCTGCTGTCAGGTGTAGGGATCCCATCACCCCATGGCAGCCAAATCGGTCTCTGTTTACTTTCAAAGATCCCAGGACTGAAAGGGCCACAAATGTCAAAAGGTGGTCCTGAAACTGATAATAACATGTCAATGGCTCCATGATTCTGTCAAAAAGTCAATAATAGCCTTTACCTAAGTCTCACTTTTCTTATCAAAGAGCTGTTTCAATATTACAGAAAAACAGATAGCTGGAGGAAATCCTTCTATTACAAGTTCCTTAGAAATTCTGCATATACGTATTTAAAATATAGATTAAATGTGAGGGTAAAACAAAAACAGTTTCAGACCCACGCCACCTATGAAGCTGTTTACCATGTAGCCTTCCCCAGGAAATTTCTGGAGATTTTTGATACCTATCAAATTAAAATAATAAATCCAGGGAATAGAGGGTCCAAAATCAGAAAGAAGCAAGGTGATACCTGAGTGATAAAGAAGAAAGATTCCAAACAGCACCTGGACACCAGGTCCACCAGGCAGCCAGCCCAGACTTGGGCAGCTGACAGAGGCTCCCAGATGTACACACCCAGGAGAAATACTAAAAAGTGGTGGGTCACCAGATGATTTGAATATATGGCAAGATTTATACTTTTGGGAGAGTTTTTTTTTGGCTGGGACTGGGTTTGAACCTGCCACCTCCGGCATATGGAGCCGGCACTCTTCTCCTTTGAGTCACAGGCGCCACCCTGGAAGAGAGTCTTTACGACAGTCAATAATAGCTAAATTAAAACCAATAATAATAAGAAAATTATCTACTTCAAGAATAACAAAAGACTGTACCAGAACAGGGTGTAACCAGCGTCCTGCACATCTCAGCTGTGAACCAGAGTCACACCTCAGAGACACACTCAGCTGTGGTCTTTTCTCCCAGGGAGTCCACAGAAGTCTGAAACTGGAAAGGTAAGAAATTGCA